GGCTGACAGAGCAGCAGCGCTGCGCCCCCTCCCCGCGCCGCTCCCGCCCGCGGACACGCACCCCCGGCTCTCCCAGGTAACGGCAGGGCCCGGTGGCGGGGCAGCCCCTCACGGCGGCGCTGCCTGCAGCGGGCGGCAGCTCGAACCCCGCCGCGCTGAGGGAGGCGGCGGGGATGGGGGGGGAACCAGCGGTAGAGGCTGGCGGAGGGGTGGGGTGGGGGTCCCCCCCCGCTCCCGCGGAGCGTGCCGGGAAGTGTAGTCCGCGCCCCCCCGCCGGGCGCTGGGGGCTGCCGGGAGAGGCCGCGGGGGAGAACTACAGCCCCCAGCGGCCTCGGCAGAGGGGGGCAGATGGGTGCTGTGGAGGAGACCCCTGTGGGGAGGGGGAGGCTCGCTCTGAAGGAGGGCGCTGAGGGTGCTCATCCGTCCGGAACAGCGAGGGCAAAGCCCCTGTGCCGCCGCCGGGAGGGAGGGGCTGGAGGGAGGGGCGGCGCGGCAAGGCCGGCTGCGGGGGGTGGGCGCGGGGCGTTGCGGGGCTCTCGGGAAGGAGGCGGGAGTTGCGCGGGGGCTCTGCGGCTGCGGAGGGGAGGCGCGAGGCGGGGTGCGGGGGTGCGCGAGAAACCCGGGTGGGGGAGTGCGGTTCGGGGGTGCGGCGGGGGCAGGATGGGTTGGGTGGCGTGTGAATGCCAGTGGAGGACTCAGTTGGAGGTTGAGGACATAAAGAGTCCATGGGAACGAGGAAAGAGGCGCATGGTAACGTAGGTGGATAGCTGGATGGGAAAGATGTGCCGAAGGAGGAGTGACAGAGCAGATGGGAGGGCAGGGATGTGCAGAAGGCAGAGCAGACTGGAGGCCGGGTGATGGGTGCAGAGGAGGCAATGGTCAGAGTGAGGCCTGCAAAGTTTCTCCAAGTAGTTGAGTTTATAGTTTCCGGTTTCATGTGTCCTACAACCACACTTAGGCTCTGTTGGTTTTGTTGCAGTAGTTGGTCTAGCCACAGTGTTACTTTTTTAAAAATAATTTTGCTACATTTCTATTCCCCCTCCCCATTACTGTCATGATGTCAGTATTGGCATTTTTCCCTTTTTTCTCTCCGTTTTCTCTGATGACAGTTCTAGTGTTATTCTTTATCTTGTATTCTCCAACATGAGGGGGAATAAAATTTCAGTTTTTCTCATATATATGATATTCTCTCAATATCATACTTAAAATGTACATGTTTATGTTTGGTATGTTAGAGGGTGTTATTTTTCCTTTCTGAAAATCTGTATCTTAAAAGCATCAGTACATTAGTACTCCCTTGCATGTGAATATTGAATGTCTACTACTACAGTTTCACATGTCACAAAGCTAGGTTTCTTTCCAAGGGATGTTCGATTTTTATTGCAATTGCAGATTGTTGAGTGGTTTCTTTTTTTTGCCCTTTCCCCCACCCCGATGTCAGCTACATCCTAGGCAGGCTTAGGCTTCTTGCAGCTCCTGGTACTTGCCAGCCTGCAGAAGTGAACATCGCAGCTGCAGCATGCTTCCAGGGTGCTTTGCTCTTGGAGACTTGGGCTTTTGAGCAGGTAATAGAGAGAAATGGATCCTGCCCTGAGCTGATCTCAATCTCAAGAAAGAGAACTAAATGGAAGACAAGGAAGCATCACCAGGCCTTTATCTGGTTTTCTGTGTAAATAAGTGTGAAAAAAAAAAAAAGCTCATTCTTCTGTGGATGAGCTGAGAAATCTGAAGACTAAAAGCAGCTCTGTAGCACTGAGAACAATATGCTAATTACTATATATTTAAAAGAATATATACTACTCTTTAGAACAATTCTAAAAAGCAAGATTCTAATTAAGAAATACACATTCTTAGTCCTAAGGACCCAATTCTTTGGAATTCAGAGAGGAGTTCAAAAGGTGGAAAAGTATTCAGGCCGAAATTCTGACCTCGTGAGTCAGGGTTATAAACACATGTGTGAGTCAATTAAACTTGCAGTTATTCGTGGTAGGTTTATCTGGGTTGTGGATTGGCTGCACTGGGAATGTAGCAGCAGCAGAACTGAGTCTTTGTGCAGCTGACTATGGTTTGTCAGGGCTCCTGAGCTGCAGCATGGGGGGAACATGAGTGTGCTGTGTCCAGGGCCAGGGTGCAGGAACAGTTTAACTCTACTGGCACAGAGCCCAAACTAATAAACACTTTGAACCCAAGCTGGCTCTGCACAGACCCATCTTAGGAGTCTTTGGTGGCATGTTTGCTCTACCAGAAGTGCTTACACACGATATGCAGAGAAGCAAGTGGCTCCACAAAGGACCAGAGGGATTATTGACTTGCGCAGAGTTCCCCTTTGTTGAGCTCCAGACAGGCCCTGCAGAATCCTTCAGGTATCTAGGCCCTGCATTCTGTCAGAGGAAGGATCTGTCACCTCAGGGCTGGTCCCACCTGAACACGGGCGTGGGTTTGATGTGGCACTAATGCCAGAACGCCTGGAGGCTGTGTTGGAGAGGAGAGAGATGTGTGGAGCCAGCCTGGGTCCAGCAGGGCTAAGACAGAGCATAAGCTAGCAAGCCTCTCACTGCCTGAACTGTGTATGTATGGAGTACGCTCCCCAGAGTGCCCCACAGCATTTGTGTTAGCTGTTTCCCTTTATGTTATCCAGCCTGGCCAATGAACACCTCATTACCCCAAGTAATGGTGATGTGACCATATGGATGTGCCTGAAACTGGTGCATGAGGTGCCTGGAGAGGGATATGGTTTGCAGTCAGTTTAAGGAATAGCACGGCCATCTCTGATTCTTTCTAGTTCTTCAGAAAATTGTAGTACAAAGGCTCTGCAAATGGCCATTTCATTCTCCAGGATACTTTCTGTTTGGTTTACCAAACTAATTAAATTTCAAATTTAAATCTCTAACTTAATCTCTGATTAAAACAATGACCAACTGTTTAGTGGTTTCTTATATGTTTACTTTTAACTTGTGGTGAATTTCTTTACTTCATTTGAAGATGGGGATTTTTTTCACTTGCATTTAAAGTAACTCTCTGTTTTGAGTTAGCTCTCAGAAGATTTCACACAAAAATAGTTTGAGGCCTGCATTCATACTTCTTCCCACTTCCATACACATTTCCCCATTAACTCCACGTCTGCTATTGCAAAACAGTTTCAGTGCAAAGAAGCCAAAAAACAGCAGAAAGCAGTTAGCTGACTTGAGAGATCCCTCGGTGCTAGGTTTCCTGGGCTGTAGTATGTGTGTGTATGTTTTATCTGGCGTGTGTGGTGCTTTGAAGAAGCCCAGGGCATGAACACTCCAATGGCAACCCCAGGGCCACCGCTGCAGTTGTAGCCGTTCGTGTCACTGCTGATGCACACAGCAAAAGGAAGAAAATAGCACTGGCACAGCACACTTCTCATCTCATTTAAATGTAGTTTAAATCCAATTCTGCTGGAACTGAGCCACATTCTTACTTATAGGTATATTTTTAACAGGAGTTCTGATCCTGTGAGGTCATTATCATTAGCTTCCACACCAGTCCCTGGGACCACAGCTGCATGTGTAAACAAAGCCATGTTAACAGGGAGAGATGGATTTGGCTGTGGAACTTGGCAAGCCTTTTGTTTGTTTGTATTTTATCTGACAGTGATCAGTTAAAATGTTGTTTTTGTCGTGCAAACGTAATGTCTGATAACTGTCAGCAGCATCAGTGATTGCATCTGAGCAGGGACAATTAATTATTAGAAATGAAGACCAGTTGTTCTGCACCCAAGTCCAAAATAAAAGGAATAATGTTTATAATAAAGCAGGAAAGTCTTATTTAAATTTTTTTTGAACAATTGCATTTTTAATAACTTATTTTTAAAAATCAAATGAAATACATCAAGCACATGAAAAAAATACAGTCTGTATTTCAGTCAGAAATAGACTTCTATAGGCTTCTAGTAGGAACTGTGCATCATGCAGGGAAAAAATACTTTTTTCTTCCTCTGACAATGGTCCAGTTAGTATTGCTGTTTATGCTTTTCCAGGTAAGGCATTGTCATATAGTTACATGTCTCTATTTTAACAACTTATAACTTTGAAGAGGAAACTGAAAAGAGGATCATTGTACTATTTGAAGCAAAGACATAATTGAGGGAGAGGAAGCTGAAACTGGTCAAAGCTGGCTTACAAAACCAATATGGCCTTAACCTGAGAAGTGCAGGTTTCAGTTAATTGCAAGGAAAAGCTTCCAAGCAGTAAGAGGAATCTGTGGAAAGAACAGCTTCAGTTCATTGCTTAGACTCTGGTAATGTAAATGGATGCACACAAAAAGTGGATAAATCTGAAAATCAACACCTCTCAACACTGGAATTTGCTTCCTTGCTTTACTCTGTGTGGCAATTGACCTGTTCTGGGGTTGTGCAGTGGCAGAGGATCATCCTGAGTCTGTCTTGTAGAAGTGGAAAATGTATAGGCATACCTCAGCATTGTATTCCAGCAGATGGTGCCTAACAGAGTGACTCTGTCTTGTAACATTAGTCGTGTCTCTTACACTGCATTTCGGGATGCCCGACATCGTGCTGCACAGCTGATTTACGGAAAATGAGAAACGGAATTAGTCACCAGTCTTCATCCGTGTATGTTCAGGCCATTCCAGATGTTCAGCTGTCCAGTCAGCAGTACTGTGGAACTGCTATGACCTGAGAGCACGTGTCCAACAATCTCAGGGAGTTGTGGAACGTTTTTGCTTTGCCTGGGTAAAATTTTGATCAGAGAAAGACACGTCCAGAAAAATCCAGGTATAGTATAGCCCTATCAGTGAGGAATTAGTGTCTGATTTGGAGAAAAGTCTGATTAGCAGACATTAAATAAAGCTTGATGAGACTATTGAAACAATGAGAGTAAAGCAAAAAAGAGTAACACCTCATTATATGAGTCATCTATCCTGTTCAAGAGTTGAATGCCTGTGGAGAAAATGGGATGCAGTTGTGTTACTGATTGTGTCAAAACACATGCATAAAAAAGACATGTAAAGATAGCAGAGATGCCTTCTGTTTTGGCACTTGCAGAGTGATGTTTGGGATCAAACAATAGGATGAGCCCTACTACAGACCCCCTCTATAGGAGAGGGCATTTGCTGCCTTTGGTACCTCTGTGGTGAGGTAGTGCTGAGGAACATGGGCTGAAGTGGGTCAGTCGTCCTGTATTCATTCTCACTGGTGTTGCAGACAAGTTTGCTAAGCAAGC